CTCGCCCGCGTGCTCACGAGCTTTTATTTGAGGGAGTAAAGGGTGAGATGGCAAGAGGAAAGGGGGACCGGGCAGGGACCCACACACGGGGAGCCGAGCTGGCCGGGGAGCGGTCTGTGACGCTGAGGCTTCGTTAGAGAGTGGGTTAAACCTCCGACCCCATGTCACTCCTCAGCCTGCGCCCCAAAGAAATCGGGGAGGAAGGATCTATGTATGCCAGAAAAAGTTTATAAACAGGTCTTTTTTGTGGTAGCCAGAAAGGGAAACCGAGAAGGGGTTTTTATATGGGGGAATGAATGTCACATGGAACCTCACTGAGCCCTAAGACATGGTGAAGTGGACAATTTCAGAGGAAACTGGAAAGAGGTCTATAAAGGCATGCAAAATAAAGTGAGCGGAAACAGAACAATTTACACAGGGACCACAGAGAAAAGCAACTTTGGAAGACTGCACAATTCTAATCGGTGCAAAGATAAACAGGACAAGATTAATTGTTAACGTAATGACAAAGAGTGGTTAATACCATCGTAACATGCAATGCCTCAACCTCTTAGTCATCCCAACAATGTCAAAATTCCAGTAATGTCCTTAAGTTCCCACCCTTAAGATGAGATTGGGTGGGGCTAAGCCACACCTTAAACCTCCACCCTGGAATCTGCAAGCCCCCACCTGGAAAGTGACCCCATTGACATTCTTACCCCTTGTGTTAGGATTAATGGTGTGAAGGGCAAAGCAGGTTCTCCTTGCTTAGGATGGGGGCGAAGGGGGCGAGGGCTGAGGGTTCACGGCTGGGATCCCTTGATCAGACCTTGCTACCATGTGCTACCTCCTCCCCCTTCCCTCCTTAAGAGTATAAAAGGCTTTCCCGTGGGCGTCCACTTTGGGAAATCCATTGGATGGGGCAGTGTGCTACCCTGTTATCTCAATTAAAGATGCTTTATTTCTCAACTCATAGCTTTGATTTATTTCAGGCCTCGACAAACCTACAAGAATGAAGATGAAATGCGCCACTCACCTCCTGACCGAACTTAAAATGCAGGAGATGCACATTTTGATATGGCTGGTACAGAAATTAGTTTTATTGCTAATTTGCAGCTATGTAGTGAGGCTTTGCTTGGTTTTTTTTGCCCAGTGTGGAGGTGGATAGAAGGAGCAATAGATTAATAAAAAATACTTGGTTATTGAAAAAAAAAAGAAACTGTAACAGGGCTTGTCACTTAATATGGAGGCTCCCTGCCTGCTCTCATGTAACACTGGCCAGCCAAAGCCAGCCTCCTCTTTCGAAAGTGCTCCTTCCTTCAGTCTCCAAAGGCTGAACATCGCAGCTCGTCCACGCCGGGGCCCCACGGCCTGAACCAGTGAAGAGGGAGGCCTCCCGTCTCCTGCTGTACCCCAGATCTGAAGGAGCCTGCAGGGGCTCGGCTTGTTCTGGGCCACTCGTCCTTCGCAGTTGAGGTGCTGGAGGTGATCCTCACTGCTCTGGGAGTGTTAGCCACGGCGACCTTAGAGAAGGCCCGCGATGCCAGGGTGCCTGGGCCCGGAGCTCAAGGGTGCTTGACACTTGGAAACTGGGGCTGGGATCTAAACTGACACAAAGCAATTCCCTTCCTCTCCCCGGAGACTGAGGTGCTATGGGCAGTGGAGGGATCGCATCTCCCCATGTGTTGTACAGGAAAGCTAAAAGAAAAAAAATGGGTTAAATCTCTGCTTAGACAATAAAAGAGAAGGGGAAGGAGAATGAAAAGAAGCGGGAAAGGCCCCAGGAATCAGCCTTTGCCTCTCCGTCCCCAGAGAATGGCACGGTACGCCCGCCGTCGGCACAAAGAAGAAAGGCTTCAACTGTAAGCCAACGAGCCGCCCCTCCCCCCACTTCGCTCCCTGAAACGCTCAGGGGTGTACGGAGGCAGAGGTGGCGGACTGACATGGAAAGCCCGTCCGAGCTGGCGGCGGATTGATACGGAAAAGCGGCTTGACATGGCAAGGCGGCTGATTGACATGGCAAGGCGGCTGATTGACATGGCAAACTCCCGCGGCCGGAGCGGATTGACATGGAAAGGCGGCGGATTGATACGGCAAGGCGGCTTCACATGTAAAGGCGGCGGACTGACATGAAAAGCCCTGGCAGCGGAGACACAGACGGGGGCGGAGGCGGAGGCGGAATGACACGGAAAGGCGGCGGATTGATATGGAAAGACGCCTTAGACATGGAAAGGCGGCGGATTGACATGGAAAGCACCAGCGACCGCGGAGGCGGACTGACATGGAAAGGCGGCGGATTGATATGGAAAGGCGGCTTCACATGTAAAGGCGGCGGATTGACATGAAAAGCCCTGGCAGCGGAGGCGGAATGACACGCAAAGGCGGCGGATTAACACGAAAGGCGGCGGACCCACACGGAGCAGGGCGCGCGGTCGGGCTGCAGGTGACGTCATCGCGCGCCAGTTCTAACACTTTCTAGGCTCGGCTGCCTGGAAGCTCTTAGCACGCATGCGCCCCTGGGCGGTGAGGCTTAAGAGAGCTAAGGGGGAGTGTCTCACACAGTTTGACCCCGCCACTTGTCCACCCTCAAAACCCATGGTGAGAAGTTGGCTGGCTTTAAACACCAAATTCCTTCACAGTATTAAAAACAGGCTTTTGATGTACAGCAGTTCACCCTCAGTCTATCTTTTGTCACTCTCCTGGCCCTCCCCTACGCGTGCCTCATTAGCAGCCAGCGCCAGCTGGAGGCATGGACGGGCAGGGACGGGCAGGGCAGGGCAGGCCAGCGGGCAGTGAAGCCCTCCCCAGGGGAGCTCCGGGCTGGGCACTGACAGTGTCAGACACGGAAGCCCAAGGCTTTACCAGCTGGAGAAACATTTGACGGGAGTCAGGCTACCCCGAGGGATGCCAAGCGGGGCTGGGCCAGGGCAGGAAGCAGATACTCCAACGGGCACCTCATTCCCCTCGGGGATCCCGTCTGTCTCCCAAGGGCCTCGACCCATGCCCAACTGAAAAACGGCTCTCTTACCTCCTTCCGAGACGACAGGCCGGGCCTTGCTAATCGAGAGCCCGCTTAGCGTGCCCTTGACACCAGCATCCTGGGGCCCAGCTGCCTGAGGTAAATCAGTGCACCTTAGGAAGAAGAATTTTCGGGGCCAGCATCTTCTCAGATCCAGCTTCCTGGGAGATTTACCTTTTTTTTGGTCAGAGCTCCAGTTGGCCTTCTCTAACCCTTCCTTCCTCTGCTCCCGATACATTCACCAGACGGCTCTACGCTCCACCGGGAGAAAAAGACAGAGCCCCCTCAACTGGGAAAATGTCCTTTCCTTTAGGAAAACAACTCCTTCCCAGAAAGGGTTTGGGGGACCAAGAGGTGGTAGTGCAGGGAGATGCTCTGCTTTCTGAAAGGATGGAGGAGGTGAAACTGCCATTACATAAATCCAGAGAATGTTTCTAGAGGAAAGGTGATTACCTCGATGACTTAATAATCCTGAGTACCTAGATCAAGATAAGGAAGAGAGCTTACCCAGCCCCAGTGACAGAAGAAGAAAGCCCCTCAGCTATCCTCCCTACCATGGAGCTCGGTTGGCTGGTGGACCAGGGCATACTGAGTGGATGATGGCACAGTGTAAGTAAGGCAACAAGGGGGCACAAAAGAAGGCTGGGCCTTCTGTGACCTTGGGCAAGTCATTTGATGTCTGTCTGCCTCAGTTTCTTTAACTGTAAAATGAGGATATAAATAGCCCCTACTTTCCAGGGCTGTTGTAAGACTCAGATGAGATATTTGTAAAATGCTTGGCACATAGGCATGCACTACATGTGCTTCCATACTATCTAAAAAAACCAAGAGCCAACATTCCCAGGCACGATTTAAGAATCCCTGAGCTATTTCCTCAGGAAAATGTAAGCTCTGTGAAAGCAGGGACTCTTTCTTGTTATCTCTGTATCCCTAAGTATAGCATCCTTTCCAGAGCAAAGTCACTACTTGATAAATGCTCAGTGAACCGAAGGGAAGCACGCTGTTATCCTTGTCACAGCTGTCAGGGGGAAAGGAGCACTTCATCCGACCAGAGACCAAGGCGCTGCTCTCAGACACGGACGGGAGTGCTCTTGGGCCAACAAACAATGCTTCCTGTCTCAGCTGGAATCAAGCCTGCTACAAACCAATAAATTCCCTTTAAACATCAAATTGTTCTGCCTAGGGGTGGAAATAAGTACTTGTGTGTTCACGGCCCTATGAACACCTTCTAAAACAAGCACCTTTAGGTGGTCATAGCATAGGGACACAGTTATCAAAAGAAGAATTCCTAACTATTAACCACCATGTGAGAGAGTGCTCTAAATCACTAATGATAACAGACATACAATTCAGAATAACTCTAAGTAAAGTGGCAAAGACAGCATCAAATGAAAATAGTCAACGTCAGATAGGCTACGGGAAAATTGGCTCACCACCACCTGTGGGTGGAGAGCTGCATTGGTACGGCCACTCTGGAAGGCATTTTGGAATTCCACAAAAGGAGTAACTGAACTGTCCATCATCTTTGACTCAGGAATCCCACTACTTAGCATGTGCCCCAGGAAAATTATAGACACCAAAATAATCATAGCAACGTATTTTGTGGTACCAAAAAACTGGAAGCAAAACAGGTGCAGATCAAATGGAAAATGGCTAAACACACTACGTGGTACATGGCTCTAATGGAATATTGTTATGTCATAAGAAATGATGGCTATGAAGGAGTCAAAGAAGTGTGGGAAAGACATATATGAACACAGCAGAACTAGAAAAATCTATGTCCAATGACAACACGATAAATCCAGTTATACCTTCCACATCACCACTTTCCCCATCACGGTTTCATTATATCGCAGGTCGGCATAAATTTAAATGGAAATTTGGGGGAAATTTGAGGGAGGTCACAAACTACAAAAGAAAGCCAGCAGATGACACAGAAAAAATTTAGAAACTCAGAAATGCATAAAATACATGTATAGTATTGTATATCAACATATTTTATCTTTTAATACCATAATAAGTCAGACTTCTTCTCTGGTACGAAGGAAGGGCCAAAAAATTTTACGTGGATTTTCCAGACTGCAGGGGCGCCACGACCCTAAGCCCCTCGATGTGGAAGAGATAACTGTAGAAAGAACAAAAAACAACCTAAACAGAATGCTGCAAAATTAGAATGCCTAAGCCTGGTCCCAGAAAACTGAGAAAATGTAGCTCTCTCCTGAACTGCAAAGATGGGGAAACCTGGCTCTGGAGTTTCACGGGCTGCTGCAAGGCTGACTGGCCCTTCATAACTCCACTTTGGGGGGGGGGGGGGGGGGGGCGGGGAGGGGACAGAGGGAAGGTTTCCTGGCAAAGATACTAGAGGAGTTTGCCTCTTTCTTCTCCAGCTGATTTTAATAGATGAGGAAACTGAGGCAAACAAAGTAAAATGACTTGCCCAGGGTCACACAGCTGGTAAGTGTCTGAGGCCGGATTTAAACTCAGGTGTTCCTGACTCCAGGCTTGGCACTCTGTCTACTACATCACCCAGCTGCCCTGCTTAGTTTTGCTGAACTGTTTTTTCTTCTGGTTTTAATATTTGTTATAATACAAATCTATGCAGGAGAGGGCCGTATTTCTAAAATGCAAAATCAAAATGTATCAATAAAAACGAAGTGTAAATCATAAGATTAACAAAACTCATTGACGCCAACCCAATTTGGGTTTGGTTTGTGCATTGCTGGTGCTTGGCACAGGGCTATGTGCACCCACAGGCACGTGCATCACTAAGTTTTTTTTTAGTTGGACTGAATGACTTCTTCCTTCCTTTCTGTCTTTCTTTTTCTTTCTTTGCTTCATTGCCTCTAGTTTCCCAAGTATCCCATGTATTTTAAGACCATACCACATGCCTGACACCGCACTAATGCCTTTCAAAGAACTGAGGTCTGGCTTCAACAACTTCTCCTCTTCCTTGGTCTCCATTATTACTTTCCAGGCCTCTCCCATTTCCAAAATGACAGAACTAAGCCTCAGAAGGCTAAGGAATCTGCCTAAGATTGTACACTAGTCAAAGGCAGGATCTAAAAGTCATTGTGCTAGGTGCTGGAGGTTAAAAGAAAAAACAAAAGTCTTGGTATACAAGGAACTTGGATGCAATGGGAGAGATAAAGGAGGCATGCAGGTAAGTCAGTACAAGGAAATCTGAGGGGAGAGAGAGCAGGTAACAACAGAGGGAAAGAGGAAGGGCTTGCAAAAGAGACAGAATCTGGTCTGTGCCTTGAATGAAGAGGGAAAGGTAAGGAGGAATTCCACTTTTGAAAGAAGGGAGAGCCAATGGGAAGAGAAATGGAGTGGAAGTATTAGAAAGGTAGATGGGAGCCCATTTATGGATGGACTTCAATGCTAAGTGGAGGAGTTTTTATTTTATTTTAGAAGGAACAGGGAGACACTCACACTTCCTGAGTAGGAGACTGATCCCATCAGACATTTGCCTTGGGAACATTATTTTGACAGCAATGTGCTAAGATAGATTAGAGAGGCCTGAGATGACTGGAAAGACAAAGAGCAACGAGGAGGCTGAAGGCTTCATCCAAGTAAAAGGTGATGGGGATCTAATGCCCGGAATGCTGGAAGAACTGATGAGATCTGGCAACTAACTGATCCAGTACTGGGAGTGAAGGAGTGAGAAGAAACAGAGACAGCTCTGAGGCTGAGAATATTAGGGAACCTTAGAACACTGGGCCCCTCAATAGAATTGGGGGGAGAGGGAGAGAAGGGAAGAAGCACTTATTACATACTTATGATGTGCCAAGCACTGTGCCAAGTACTTCACAAATAGTATCTCATTTGTTTCTCACGACAACCCTGGGAGGTAGGTGTTATTATTATCCCTATTTTACAGTTGGGGAAACAGAGGCAGCTGAAGGTTAAATGACTTGCCCAAGATCACCCAGCTAGTAAATGTCTGAGGCTGGATCTGAACACAGCTCTTAACTATAGGTCCAGCACTCTATCTACTACACCACCTACCCAACTAGCTGTCAGGAAATTTGGAAAAGGGGCAGGCAGAAAGGGAGAAAACAAGTTATATTTAGGCCATATGATTTTGAGATAAGATGCTACATCTACAGGGAGATGTCCAGCAGGTAGCTGGAAATGTGTGCCTAGAGCTAAGAGGACACATTAAGGCTGAATATTTAGAAGCAGGAGTCATCTCTCTAAAGATGATAATGGAACAGATGAGATTATTCTGGAGAGGACAGGAGCTCGGGTAGAGTCTGGAGCAAGCAGGAGAAACTAGCATTACAAAAACCATGGGGGTGGAGATGAAGGGGGGTGGAAGGAGCACAGAAAGAAGCCGAGGGAGGAAAGAATATCTAGGAGGAGGCAGTAGTGGTCAACACTGTCAAACACTACAGAGAGATTAGGATGACCACTGAGAAAGTCACTGGATCTAGTAGTGAAAAGATGATTGGTACCTTGGAAAGGGCAGTTTCAGATAAGTCACAGTGTCTTCTCTTTGGGGCTTGCACTACCCAATCAGCACTTGCCCTGCCCTCTCTCTCCCCTCCTCTCTCTTTTCTCTCCTCCAGCATTCCCCAATTTGTGCTCCTAGTTGAACTGCTTCCAGGGCTCACTCCATTTCTCTCTCTCTCTCTCCCTCTCTCTCTCTCTCTTTTTCTCTCTCTCTCTCCCTCTCTCCTTCTCTCCCTCTCTCCCTCTCTCTCTCTCCCCGTTGTCTTCCCAATTGTACATATCGCACAATTTCTCAATATGTCCCCCAGGCACCTCAGAATATGCTTATTGTCTCCAACAGGACAGGCATGGTGGCACACACTTGTAATCCCTGCTGTCAGGAAAAAAGAGGTTGCTGGATCTCTCAGGCTCCAGAGTTCAGAGCTTCAGTGGGCTAAGCCAATGAGTACATCAAGTGTCCAAATTAAATTCAGCTTTAATATGTGAACTTGTGACAGCAGAGGGGCCACCAGGTTGCCTAAGTAGGGAAGAATCAGCCCAGGTCAGAGACTGCAGAGGTCAAAGCCAAGAGGCCAATCAGAGTAGGACCAGGCCCTTAAGTAGCCTCTGAACTTCCAGTCTGACAAGAGATAGGGAGATCTGGTCTTTATTAAAAAAAAAAAAAAGTCTACATATGCAAAATCCTGAGCTGAGCACTGGGGGAGATAAAAAATTAAAGAAGGCATGGTCCCTTTCTCCATGAAGTTTACACTGAGTGGAAAGCTATGCCAAAGGATATAGGTAAGTGCATACAAGAGGCAGAGGCCAAATGTGTTGTGAGAAGCAAGAAGAGAAATCTCATCACTGGCTGCAGGATATGAATAGGGGAAGGGAAAGAAAGAAGCACTGATACTGTGGCTACTCCCTGCCAGGCACTGTCCTAAGTGCTGTTCCAAATATTATCTCATCTGAGTAGTGAGGACAGGTTTCCTGGGTGGTTCAGCTGTATCTTATAGGATTTCAGCACATAGTTACAGGGGGCAGAGGTCATTGTAGTACCAGGCAAAACAGCATGAGCAAGAGGGGCTAATCATGGGGGTGGCATTTCTCTAATTCATGATTCTAGATCAGAGATATCAACCCTGGGCCACATTCAGTCTGCATCACTCCTGTGTGTGCCAGAACCAGATTAAAATGTAATTGGCAAATATTGAGCAAAATAAATAAAAACACAGTAAGACACAGATGACATTACATTTAAAACTAAGTCAACATGGGCCCACGGGGATCATGCATACAGTTTAGTGGTCCTCATTATTAATTTGACACCACTGTTCTAGAGCATTGGCACAAGGAGGAAAATTCTCTCAGATAAGACTAGAAAAGGGAAGCGGGGAAATGATGTCAAATTGTTGAGGGTCCTGAATGCTCAAAAAAAGAATGTGAATTGTAATGCACAGGTGGATAGGGATTCACTGAAGGGTCTTCAACAAACAAATGATATACTCAGGTGTCTGCATAAGGAAGCTGAATCTGGCAACAATGGGACAGATGGATGGATAGGTGGATGGATGGAGAGACGGATGGATGGAAGGATGGATGGACAGAACGGGGAAAGATAACAGAGAAGTGAAAGGCCGGTAGGAGTCTACTTAGTAATCTAAGTGGCTCCATCTAAGGCTGAAAAGAGAACAATGAGGATTGAGACTGGTAAGGAGAAGCCATACTAACGTGAGAGAACTCTCAACTATGTACAGCTGAGGCTTCCATCAAGCTTCACCTACTCAATGCTACACAGAAAGTGACTATTTTAAGCCTGCTCATTTCTAAACTCTCCATAGAGCTCTAGCACATTCCCCACTTTGCCTATTCTTTCTTCCCAAATAGTCAACTCCAATTCTACTCAAGGCCTCTTTAATGCACTGAAATCTGATTTTCAGTCACTGTCTTATAGAGAACTCTGAGTTTACCTTGAGTGAAAGGCCACATACACCTTCATCTCAACCCCTAAATTTTAGCCTTTCATACCTCTCTCTATATGCAGCATTTGTTTCCCGTGCCAGGTCAAAGATCTGTTCACTATGAGAGCAGGAATGAGTCACTTGAGAATGGTGCTCATGGTTTACTACAATAGGTACCAATCCCATTTAATTTCATGATGCTTCCCTACCATGACCTGCCTTCCACAGGAGAGTACGGCTAGGGACTATTCACCAGTTTCCACAAGTAACAGGCTAATTCCTTTCTTCCCAAACTAAACATACGCTACCTATATCAAATCAAAATGTACTTTCTTCAGGAATCCTTCATTTCTCATGTGAACCCACATCAACACCTTTTTTCCCTGAATTTCTAAAAACTTGAATGTCTGTACCTACTCATTTTGGTTCTTTTAAAAGCAATGCTAGAAAATGGATCATGAATACATATAAAATAGTTGGTCTTCCCTCAGGGAAATTGAAATCTCCATAATAAACTGGACTGTCAGTTGTATGTCTTTTGAATTCACAGCACCAAGCTCAGTACCAAGCACACAGCAGTACTAAATTCCTGAGCAATTTAATTAATTGGGGTCAGAGGAAAGGGACACTAGTGCCTGAGATTATCTCCAATCTCTATCTTATTTATAGGTTGCCTCAAGGTTTGCAAAGTGCTTTATAGATATCATCTCATTTGATCTTCACAACACCCCTGGGAGGATCCCCATTTTACAGGTGAGCAACTGAGGCAGGTGAAGTTTTTTGTTCAAGGTCCCACAGCTAGTAAGTGTCTGAGGCTGGATATGAACTCAGGTCTTCCTGACACCAGGTCCAGCTTTCCACCCACTATACCACCTAGCTGCCTCAATTGTTTCCATGTTATTTCCCCCATTAGAGTGTGAGCTCTGTGAGGGCAGAGACTTGAGTTTGCCCTTTTTTGTATCCCCTGTGCTTAGCCCAGGGCCTGGCACACAGGAAGCACTAAATTAATGCTTACTGACTTGACACAGCAATTCTGGGAAGCATTCCTCATGGGGTAAGGACTGCACCCATCACAATGGTCCCAGTTTCCTAAGTTCTGGCATATGGACCAGAAGTGTTTGCAAACTCTGAGAATCTAGGTATTATTTCAGCAAAGAAGAAAATCCAACTAACCTGGCACCTGGCTGTTGGGATCACAGGGACCATTCTCTCCTGAATGCTTCCCTCTTGGGGAAGAGCAGGGTCCTCAGAGGCAGAGCTGGGAAGCAGAGAGGAAAGATGAGAGAGGCTGGCACTTCCCTGGTCCCAGAGAAAACAAATCCCCCACCTTCAGAAAGGGCCTGAGGTTAGAAGAAAAAGACGGCACAACCCTTGCTCCTCTGCTCCCAGGAGAAGGGAAAAGGGCCACAGTCCTTGCTGCCTGGGGAGAACAAATTTTACATCCAAGTAACTGAAGGATGGCCTCCTGAGAACAAATAAACAGCATTTCCTTCAAACCCCATAGATGTGACTGGCAAACCTCACACTTCTACAGAAGAGGAGATTGTAGGATCAAAGATTGAAGGCTTAAGGGGAATTTCAGAGATTAGCTCATCTCAGGTTTTACACAATGTTTGTACCACATATAAGTAGTAAATGGCACAGCCAGGATTCAAAACTGAGCTCCCTAAATCCAGAGTTCTTACCAATGAATGCCCCAGGCAGCACAAGTGTGAAATTCTACACCCCCAGTTCCCAAGATGAGAGAAAAGGGTTGAGAGCTTTGCTATCTGAGGGAAATGAAGGCACCACACAAGTCCCTGAAGGGGGGACACAGACAACTGCCAACCCCCTCTCCTTCTCTTCCCCAACTTTAAATTCTGGGGTCCAGGTCCAGCCCAAGGTGGCAGTAGGGATGGATACAACAAGGCCTGCAAATGACTGATTGAATGAATAAATGAATGAATGAATGAATAAATAAATGAATGAATGAATGAATGCCACTGAATGCCCTTTCTCCCCTAAGCTCAGGCTTAGAGGCTGGGTGCAGGCCAGTGACCAGGTTCATCCCAGGAGTTTCTGCTCCAGGATGAATCCTCCCAATCCATAAGGCTCTAACTCTGGAATATGGAATCCAAAGAGGAGGCAGAGAACCTGACCAGTCTGGAAAGGGCAGAAAAGGGAGGAAGAGAAGGAGAAAAAGGGTGGGAGGGAGGAAGAGAGAGAGGGAGAGAAAGAAGAGGGGGAAGGAGAGGAGGGAAAAGGGGAGAAGGAAAGGAGGAGACGGGGGAGGGAAAGAGGGAAACAAGGGAAGAGAGGAGAGCTAAGGGGACAAGGGGGAAAGAGGTAGAAAAGATGAAGGGAGAGGGGGGAGGGGAAGGAAACGGAGAGGAGCAGGGGGAGGGGAATGAGGAGAAGGGAGAAGTGGGAAGGAGAGGAGCGGGAAACGGGGAGAGTAAAGAAAGAAAAGATGGGGGAGGGAAAGGGAGGAGGAAACGGAGAAAGGCCAAGGGTGAGAAAGGGAGAGGTCGAAGGGAGAAAAAGGGGGGCAGGGGAGCAAAGGGGGAGAGAGAAAAAGGAAAGGGGGAAGGGTGCGAGGAGGGAGAGGAGGAGGAGGAGGAGGGGAAGGGAAGACGACGACGGGGGAGAGCGGGGGCCGGGACAGGGCAGCGCAGGGAAGGTGGGGAGGGACGGGGGGCTGAGGCGGCCTCTCTCACCAGGCGAGGAAAAGAGGACAACGAGGAAGCGGAAGTCCCCCTCGGGTGGCCCGGGCCCCTGCTCCGACATTTCCGGCCCTCCCCCATTCCTCGTTAGTGACAATTTCCATGGCAACCGACTGAGAGCGGTCCAGGGACTGAGAATGAGGCGTCGTCACTGGCAGTGCTTTCTGGGAAAAGTAGTCCGGCGGCCAGCGGCAGCTTCTGCGCCTGCGCAGGAGAAGGGCGAGCCCCTCGGCTCCAGGCTTAGCCCACGTGGTATAGGATACAAAGGAGTCCTCCCTTCCCCCTTCGCCTCGGCCGCACCACCTCCATCCACCCCCATCCCCCACCTTTCTGTACACTCTTCTTTCTCCCATCCCTCGGATGAGTTCCCTTTGTCTGCCTTCGCTTTCTCCGCTCTGTAGGATCCTGGGGCGGGATGAGGGTCCCCAAAGACCCCTCGGGCTTTTTGGATGATTGCTGGTGAAGAAATAATGAATTATTCTGGTTTAGCAGGGCTTAACGCCATGTCTGGATGTGGGGCGCTTAATAAATGCTGGCTGACTCTGGTCAGTTTAAATAGTAAATCAACAGGCCAACAAGCACTTATGGAGCCCCAAATGTGTGCCAGGGGCTGCGCTGGGCCCTTGGGATACAAAAATAAAAGAGACAAACACAGGCCCCGCGCTCATGTCCGTTGCCTTCGGTGAGCGGGAGAGACGGACAGGCCGGCCAGCCCTGACCTTGTGGCCTGGCAGGGCGGGGCTGGCTCCTGGATAAAAGGCGGATCGCTAAGGATTTGTTAAGGGAGTCCTGTGGGCCTAGCACGGTGCTAAGGGCTGGGGATACAGAGAAAAATAATTTTCAAAAGGCCTTGAGGGGTTTACGTTCTGATGGGGGAAATAACACACACACACACACACACACACACTCTCTCTCTATGTCCTTCTCTCTTTCTCTTTCTCTCTCTGTCTCTGTCCCTCTCTCTCTTTCTCTGTCTCTCTGTCTCTCTCTCTTTCTCTGTCTCTCTCCTCTGTCTCTCTTTTTCTCTGTCTGTCTCTCTCTGCCTCTGTCTCTGTCTCTCTGTGTCTCTCTTTCTCTGTCTCTCTCTGTGTCTGTCTCTCTGTCTCTCTGTCTCTCTGTGTGTTTCTCTGTCTCTCTGTCTCTCTCTGCCTCTGTCTCTCTGTCTCTCTCTGTCTTTCTCGTTCTTTCTCTGTCTCTCTGTCTCTCTCTGCCTCTCTCCATGTCTCTCTCTGTCTCTCCCTCTCTCTCTGTCTCTTTGTCTCTCTGTCTCTCTCCATCTCTCTATCTCCTCCTCCCTCTCTCCCTCTCTCTTTGTCTCTGTCTCTCTGTCTCCCTCTCTCTCTCTCCCTGTCTCTCTCTGTCTCTCTCTTTCTGTCTCTTTCTCTGTGTGTGTGTGTCTCTGTCTCTCTCCTACTCTGTCTCTCTCTCTCTCTCTCTCTGTGTCTCTCTCTCTGTCTCTCTGTGTCTCTATTTCTTTCTGTCTCTCCCTCTCTGTCTCTGTCTGTCTCTGCCTGTCTCTCTCGCTCTTTCTCTCTTTCTTTCTCTCTCCCTGTCTGTCCCTCTCTCTCTGTCTGTCTCTCTCTCTCTCTTTCTCTCTCTGTTCCTCTCTCTCTGTCTCTATGTCTCTCTCTTTCTCTTTCTGTCTCTGTCTCTCTCTCTGTCTCTGTCTCTCTGTCTCTCTCTTTCTCTGTGTCTGTCTCTCTGTCTGTCTCTCTGTCTCTCTGTCTCTCTCTGCCTCTGTCCCTCTCTGTATGTCTTTCTCTGTCTCTCTGTCTCTGTCTCTCTGTGTCTCTCTCTCTGTGTCTGTCTCTCTGTCTCTCTGTCTCTCTCTGTCTCTCTGTCTGTCTCCCTGTCTCTCTCTGTCTCTTTCTTTCTCTCTCCCTCTCTGTCCCTCTCTGTCTGTATGTCTCTCTCTGTCTCTCTCTGTGTCTCTCTCTGTTTCTCTCC